GAAGAATTCTACCTTTAGGGATTCTACGGTGCCCCCTAATCCCTAAATTTCCGTATCTCGCAGCGGGAAACAGTATTGGCATGAAACGTGTTTCAAATATTTATTTTTAAGTAATCATATTTTCAGAGATTTCGTTATGTAGATGTTAGATATTGATTTTTAGTACTTTTCTTTGAAATGTAAACAAAGATTTATCTCTACGATAAAAGATGAATGAGATAGTGACGTGATAAAATTACTATTGCTATTCTATCAATATGCTACGTGTTAGTAATAGTTAATAATACCTTCAATTAGTGATAATTAGTTAGTAAGTTAATAATAACTTAATAAGTAACTTAAGTTAATAATACCTTTAATTAATAATACCTAGACATAGCTATCTAAGATGGATACGAAGACTTATTTATTACAAATATTAGTAAATTTTACACTAATCTATTACATAGATTTTATGCAGTAATATAGAATAGAATTTTCTGCAAATATTAGCTGAAAACAATTGATAAAAATATTCTATTATGATTGAAACGTACTGATACCTACATAGGTTTATTGTTGGTCAAAAGTTTAGAATAATTACATCCAATCTAAGAATTTAAAAAAGAACATCAGGTTGGAATTGCATTTTTTAGAAAACTAGGTATAGATAGAAAACTAGCAAAGTAATCTCGAACTCTTGATGAATAATAAATCCCTCAAACTATCTTAATTTGCTCAAGCAATCCTTGGAAAAATCTGTAGAAATTGCAACTTTGGTAAATTATTTTAACAAAAATGTACAAAAATAATCGAATATAATTGTTATTTCGTGAGCTCAATTCGAATTGATCACTGAAATATCGATAGTCATTAATATTTATACGGGAATATAATTTCTCGAAATTCATTAATAAAATAAATCTCTCTCTCTCTCTCTCTCTAGCGAAGATCGAATTTCTCCTTCCAATTCCGAGTCATTTGATGGATGAAAGCATAGTTCCGATTATCGTTAAGTGTTCTTAACGGTGGGAATGATATTCGCAGCGAAATTTAACGCACTGTATCTTATCTCGAAGATGAATAATTTCCATTGAAACGTCGACAGATGTTGTAAATTTTGATCGCCTAAGTTTCTCAGCTGGTGAATAGCCCAGAGGCCCGGCGGACCCATGTAACCAACCATTAAAAATTTATCATCGCCCGATACTTTATTGGGTTCTCTTCACTGGTTCATGCGAAATTATAGTAGTTACGTACGCAGCATCAAGCTTTTTATGCGACCTTCGTCATCTCAGGAATGGTTACTCGTTTCCCCCAAAACCGTCGCATAAAATAACAATTAACATGCTATCTTTATCTCATCTTCCATGTATGTCTTATATCTTTCTTTCTTCTTAATTTTCCATCGTCTAGGTGGCCGAAATTCTATCGAAAAGCGACAGATGATAATTTATTGTCTTGTGCTATTTGCATCGTAACGATCTGTTTGTGTCACTGAAGTCTATAAGACCGATCGTATCACTCATTTACTGCAATAATGATGCAATTCGAAATTTATTGTTTCGAGTAGATTGTACTTTCTAGAGTTGTACGTGAATGTGCATGCTCGAGGATCTGGAATTTTGATAAAATTATAACAAGAACAACGTTCAAACTCATTTTCTTCCTAAAATCATTAGCATCGTATGCGATCGTGTGTCAGCTCAGAAGAAAATTATTTCTAAAGCAATCCTAGTTTTAATAAAAGAAATTATAAATCCAGTCTCGTATTTTTTCGCGTATTTGATCTATTATCTATCATATAAATTCCTGATTAATTCATTCACCGAACATCATTTTAATTAATCGATGCTAGTCTTAATATGTTATTTGCAAGATTTCTCTAATTTAGTATAAGAAACAATAGAAACAAAGAGACATGTTTCAATACAATGAGTTGCTTGACATAAAGAAAGGGGTATTCTCAAGTTGAGACAGTCCATCACTATGGTCAACGATTTCGCGGAATTCGTTTCGTAGCAGCGAGTTGAACGAGCTGAATGTAAAACGATGTTCCGCATAGTTTGTCCGTGGCCACGATTCCGATTATGATAACCTTCAATAATCGGCAAACTAGAAACTAGGGCCAGGCTATCTGCTCGAGTAGACACGTGTTCGTCCGTGAACGACGCGACTGATCGTGAAAAGCGTTACAAAACGATGCTCTTCACGACATGAAAGATCAGACGTCCTCGTTTTCAGCCTGCATTCTAATACAGATCGTTGTATCTCAACTGTCTATCCCCGAATGGCCTCGGTGAAGTTCAATTGCTTCTCTAATCCTCTAACTCTAGCTTCTTAATCATTTCGAATTTGTCTCACTCGATTTCGCTTGAAGTTCCTTGATTTTTTTTTCGTCATTTTCACAATGTGGAAAATTTAGACAGAAAAATCACTCGGTTAACGTTGGATGAAATTACGTAGGTGTTTTCAAGTTGTACGAGCATAATCTATTGTGTGTGCATTTTTGTACTTTTGTGAATCCAGTTAATCCTTTGAGTCCGTGCTAAAGCATTACAGGCAATCTTATAAACGATAATAAAATAATTGGTTCATTTGTTAGAGGCTCAAAGAAGATAACATATTTACAGTATATTGAATAAATATATCAAATTATATTCTTAATTTGGTTTAAGCCTCTCTACTTAGTATAAAAGTCTTTTAGACTTTTGGTAACTTTAAGCAGTGAAATCTAGTTTCTTTTATCAGATACCGTAATAAGTATTCTTGGTATATTTCATATATCGAATTTTGTGAATTTTCTGTATTTCTAAGTTTTTCAAAAATTCGTGAATATAATATATGATTTTTCTTTTCTGATTTTCATTTTTAGCTTCTTGCACTTTAAGATTGGAAACGCCTGTATGTGAAAAGAGTTTTAATTCTAAAACACAAACGTCCGTAATTTTTACAATTGACCAAGCTTTTATTTATTATAAATAATACAAGTTGTTTCATCCAACATATATTCCTAAATATTTCAATTATATTTATTGAGAAATGCAAGAAATTTATATAAATTTAATAAAAGACAATAAATAACACGAACTGTAATATTAATCACAAATAAAACGTTGTATTATAAAAATATAGTACAAGAGTCTAGCGAAAGTTTTATAAACTATTTATTCGTGTTAAAGAAATATTAAACAACGTTTGTAGTTTATGAGTAACTACATCATAAACAATGTTCATAATCAAAGATAATAAATAATCAAAGACAAAGTGAGCAGTATTGCATCGCAAAAATACGAGCCTAACAAAAGGAAGTAATTTGTATCAAAGAAACATTAAACAATCTTTTATGCTTCACGAGTAACTCCATTATTATTCGCGGGGACTGAATGACAATTTGTCTCAACCGAAAGTAATTATACATTTGCGGGACTTTCTTCGGGCGAATCGGTGTTAAGTGAGGTGCGTTATGTTCCAAATGAAGTATACTTAATATCTCGCAAGCGTTCCTCTCGCGATTTCACAACGCTTCGAAAAAAGTCACAAAGTGACGAAGGAACGAGATGTTCGAGCGTCAAATCTTCTGACGAAGCGCTTTTCAAACTTTTCCATCTGGCGACCCCCTTTATTCGAATAAATATTTTCGCGAGCCTGGATATACAAACTAAGACTGTACGAATTAAAACATTTGCTGACAACAAAGGAAATTTATTCGAAAACAATTCTTTGGTGCCAAACTAGTTAATTTTCGGTCGTTGCACGTCCACGAATCTTTTGTTTCGCGACCTCGAAATTTAATTACGCGACCTATACTTTGAGAAACAACTGTCGTAACTGCAGCAAGTCGCGAATGAAAATAACGCGAAATTAAAGTACAAGTACAGAGACGTCGCGGTTGACATTTTTTAATGATAGAAAGTTACCGGAGATCTAGTAACAGTCACCTGATCGATGAACATCGTTCTGCGTGTTTAACAATGTGTACTCGGTGCTTGATAGATAATTTTTGACGATATCTCTCGGGATTTAGGCTGTACTTGTATTCAACGGCAAGATGAATAGTAGATGCATATTGTTAGATATAAATTTTGTACGATAGTAGTTTTGCATGACAGTGAATGAATATTAAGCAGCTTCGAAATGTTCGATGTTAAGAGAAAACCAATCTGCTACCCGATGAGAAAATCAGTTTCACTGGAAATCCGACCACGATAATGTATCGATTAATTAATCGTTATTTGTAATTATTCAATTGATATAATTATACTATTCTCTATTAATATTCGTATGTTCGCATATTTAATTTTTTATATTATAAATATGTTACTTATATAAAATATTATTTTATTATATTATTATATTATAATATTATTTTATTATATTATTATAGTATAATATTATTTTATTATATTATTATATTATAATATTATTTTATTATATTATTTTATTATATAAACTTTTATATTATAAATATTCCCTGGTCAATACTAATTGATTACAGATTTTTATGCATTTATAGGAAATTTGAAAAATATATAGAATGCACGCAATATGAAAAAATAATTATATGAAATGTCTAAAATATACCTGGCACATAAAACAATTTCCTATCGAAATATAGATTTACATAAAAATTCACAGTCTATGATTGAAATATCAGACTACGAGACAGAATATACAATTTACAGAATAATAATAATAAAATTTGTTATACAAGTTGATACGAAGAAAGAATTATATTATATATAGGATATAAAGAATATATTATATTAATTAAAATTATATCAAAAGCAAAGAGTATCTTTATTTTTCTAACGAGGAACACCACACTGTTGAATCTCACATATCGTCTTAAATTTTCGAACTAGTCCTTTCGAATTTAGAATCCTTTCATTCTAATTTCCAATTCCTTTGCTTTAACTTGCAATGAAAAATATTCCAACAACTTTTCATCAATCAACAATAGCCCTTCTGAGAGACGAAATTTAACTAAAATTTCCAGTGATCCGACAACGAAAATCTCGAGTTGCCTCGACGATATGGGCTGTTCGTGCAAAAATGAAATACTCCATATACAGAGTGAGGTATTGTGCAGGCAGTGGTCCACGTGCGATTCAATGCTCTCGAGTCTCTCGCTTTGGAAGTAGAAACGACCGTCAGTCGCGCTCGTCCGTCGTAGTCGGAGACATCCGCGAAGTCGTAGACGAATGTGATCGCCGAAAGGGAATCGTTGAAAATCGAATGCCAAAAAGGCAACTACCGACTACCACGAATAACGAACGTAACCTGAGAAACAATGCCACGAGGAGAAGCGAGAAACAGACAAGGGAAAAACTTGGTTCGCGTAAAGGACTAAATGAAAGAAACGATAAGAAAAAGAAAGAAGGAAAAAAAAGGCGTAGATTAGTGAGAGAGAAGAAAGTGATAGGAGGGAAGACTATGCGCTACTGGCGAACGATGAACAGATAGCCGATAGACGAGAATTTTTTGTTCCAGCGATGGGAACACTCTGTGTTTCGCGGAGATTGAATCATTTTTCTGGCTGAAAGTCCCTGGCAGGAAGCAGGAAGGATCTGGTGAACACCATAAATTTACAAGATCGAAGACAATAGGATATTTCAACGACGCTAGGCTCCGTGGTAGTTCGAGGCCGTCACTGGTTGGCGCCATCTAGCAAGGCGAGCGACCGAAAGAGAAAGAAATTCTCCGCGGGATCGCGACGCCAGGATCTGAAGAGGGACGAGGGATCACGAGGGAAGGACAGAGCGGCCGCCGGTGGAAAGGAGACGGAGCAAGATCGTCGTAGCTCCGCTTGCGCTCTCAGGCACAAACTACTCGACCACCAGCCAGCACGGATCCGAAACCCTATCTTCCGTTGTCTCTTGGGTTACTCGCTTCGTAGAGGCTCGTCGCCCCAAAAGTTCGCGCGAGACAACCCCGAGAACGCCTCTGGATCCTTTGCGTCGTTGGATCCATCCAACGCGAGTCCATCAGATTCTGATCGGAGTCCGTTCGATCCATTGAAAGACTGATCCAGACAGGGCAATGACTGTCGTCGTCGTCATTGTTGCCTCGCCGTCACGTTTACGCAGGGCTTGCCTCCTCACACGGCAGCCCCTTGCACGACAATGAACAGAAATAACCAAGCAGACGATTAGATCGTAAAGAAAACAAAAACTGTCCGTATCACGCTGTGACTTTAGACAGAGGCCCGTTCGGGAAACGACCCTCCAAACAGAGCTCTTGCTCCACACAAGCAAGTTGTTTCACATCGATTCGTTCGAACATGTGCCGTTGCTCTCTGCCCACGAAACTTCGAGATTTCGTAGGGTTCTCTCCGGTCGGCAGAGAGAACGTGATCCTCGTGGAAAGGCCGGTTACTGTCGGTGTTTGTAGATGTTGTTGAACAAAAATCGGACGATAGATATTCTTCGTTCGCGCGGGGAAGAATATGGACGATCGCGATAAATCGTGGTGAACATTGTGAAAGGAGGGAACAACGGAGAGATCGCGTGGGCGGAAGGTGGAAGATTCGCAGGATGAAGAGGATTGTCTGGACGGTGTGATGCAAGTACACCTCGGCTGCTAACAGGCATCGTGCACGTGCTGCGAGGATCATCGATCATTAGTCTTCGTCGAACAACTGGGGACCGATGGGATTCACCGCATGGCATCGTTGGATCCAGTTGATAATTAACAGGTGAGTCTTCTATCTTTTAATTTCGTAAATTCTTTCGTAATTTTCGCGTGGAAGCATTCTCTGTGGTTGAGAGGATTTCGTAAAAAAAAAAAAAAAAAAAAGATTTGCCCCGGGCGGGGAAAAAAAAAATTAACGAAGCGAAATGAATTGCCGAATCGTGTCTGCTCGTATTAAACACCTGTTGTAATCTGTTTCATCTTCGGCAGAATAATAAATGAAGGCAATCTGGCGAATCGCTATTCTCGACGCGTTGATGTCCGGGTCGATTAAGATTTAATATTGTCGAGATTAATGACAGTCGTGGAGCCGATTGTTCTTTCTTAATCAGCGCTCGTTCATTAATCATCTGTTAAAAATTTATCCAGCACTATACCACCTTCCTTCATAACAGAACAAACTAGTTCGTTTTCGCTAGAATAATAGCGATCGTTCGTTGAACTCACGCCGAATGATTAATAAAAGCAACCAGTCGACCAACTGCTGTAAAAAATTTCGATTTGCTAATTGCTAATGTCTTTTTAATTAAACGCGAGATTTATGATTCTTTTTTTTTTTTTTTCATCTACTTGGCAATATTCCTCGGTTAAATCATAACAATAGAAAGTTGGATCCAATACGAATAAAATTGATGCGAGGTTCGTGATATATCTGTGTATGAATACAAATAGGTGATCAAACGTAGATATTGCGCAATGTATTACTATCGTATAATAATTATACACAGACGCAGACGAATTAGAGAAGTAAAATTTTTTTAACGCTTCATCTTGGGTAAAACGATCGACCAACAGGATCTTGAATGTAATTAATGAACTACTCTTTCTAATGTACTCCCAGACCATCTTAGAACTCTATAAAATTCTTTAGTATCGTCTTATGAATATTTGATCGTTTGTTTGCTACAGGAGTAACGTGGCCGAGAAAAATAAATCTAAAAATGCCTATGATAAAAAATTAGTTATTCAATCATTTTACAATATTTCTTTTAGCGTTTGTGTTTTGCGCGTCTTTAATAAAATATTACGGAGAGATCAAAAACAAATAGTTATTTGAAAAAAATTTTTATTTGAATGAAAGTCAGTTGTCGTTAAATTTTCCAAAAATTTTTCGAAGAATGAAATTTAAAAAGTTAAAAAGTATTAAGGCTTATCTATTTTTATGAATAACCTCATATAAATGACTAAAATCGTTTTGGTCACTGATAACCATTATCAATGACGGAAGTTTCGTTTTAGCTAGAAGTAACTAATATCGACGATGAACTTTCATTTTATTTTAATATCGGTGATGAGAGTTTTGTCTTGGATACTTTCGATCACTGTCAATTTCGTTTTATTAATATTACTAATAATTATTTTATCAATATTGCTAGTAATAACATTTGACCAATGTAAAATGAATTGTAGAATTATTGTGAAAAGAGCCTTTTTTAATACTGATTTTAGGCATTAGTTGAAATATATAATTATTACTTAGTATTTTTATTTATCAAAACATATAAATTCTGATTCATTGCACATCGTTTACAAATACTAATTGTTAGTAATGTCAATGAAACAAATAACCATAATGATCGAAATAATCGAAACTCCCGCCATCGATATTGATCATCCAAAAACCTATTTTGGCTTTTTATTTTACCAAAAAATTATTTATAATTTATTCGTAATCAAAAACAATTTCCGTCATTAATAACGATTAGCAATAATCAAAAAAATCCTCATTATTCATAAACAAAATCATTTGAAGAAAGACATTAATTCTTACGTTAATTCTAATTTTTAAAATTTATGGCAATTATGATGTTTCATATACGTGTATTATTTATTATTTAAAAATGTATTAAAAGTTCTGTTTACGATAAGTAGACTGCGAATATTCATATTCAATTAATATTTTCATAAATATAATTAAAAAACGAAAGCTAGATGAGAAGTTGTTTTACTTTCTGAATATTTTGCATAATTAAGCGTATGCTTTTTTATATTTGTAGAATGCATAAAAAGTCCGTAGTCCAATGATGCATGTCTTCGTCAAATAAAACAAACTCTATTCAATAACTATGGTTTGAACGTTTCACTTTTAATCTTAGTTTCTGTAAGTAATTTAGAATTGAAGATTCTTTTACACTTTTTACCAGGTTAATTACAATTTCATCCCTCGTATTTATTTCAATGCTTCTAACGATTCGATACGTGCCGGACAAAGAAACGAGATTAGAGTGGGAGATTAGTGTCGTTACTTTGATCGTAATCACGATTGCAAGGCTGGTTGGTTGTTCGATTTCCACTTAATTAGCAAAGCGGCTCGTAAAGCTCCGATAAAATTCAAGAGAAATCCTGCGTCCCGATCCTGCGCGCTCGCGTCCAAGGATCGGACGTGGTGGAACGAATGGAGATAGCATCTCCTTCTTGACACCGTATAGAAACGACCTTGCAAGGCCACATAGAAGCCGCCTCGACACACACACCCACTTTATACTCGTAAAATAAGACCAGAGAGACCTCGTGAATGTGCTAGAAACCGGGCAGCAGGTCTCACCTAGGGAACAAGCTTCCCCTTCATCTGCTAGACGAGTTCTGCCACGTTCATTCAGCTTCGCCACGCCTTGCGACGATCCAGTTCCTCTATGATCCGTCGTTTTCTTTCGTTTTCTCTTCTCGAAACGTGCTACTCACTAACCATAACGAATCCGATCGATCGAGACGTGGTCATCGTTTCAAGTCTTTTAAACAAATAACGAAATTTATTGACGCTTCCATGTAATTTGCAACAAATCTAGACGTAGTTCTATACCAGTGGGCACACTTCGAAAATAGTAAAATCAAACAGATATGAAATATTGACACAGTTGTTGGCACAAGAATTATCGAGATAATCGGAATAGAGAAATTTCATAGAAATTTCACGAGTTTCCAGCGATTTGAATGAGTTTTTGTGTTGCAAATTTTTTTCTATTTCTTACATCTCTGATTTCTCTCTCATTTCTCTCTTTGACGACAGTGAAATTAAATATTAAATAGGAAAGTTTAACAATTACATTAACCTCTTGCGCTGAAATGACGTGCCACGCACGTCGAGAATTTTTTACTCCAAAATTGTACTATTTTCTCAGTTTTAAATATATTTAAGTAGAACAAAATAGACAAAACAAAGAATAAATTTATTACTTCTCAATCATTTCTATGCAGGTTTGATCACTCGTTATGGTCCGTAATCAATTGCCAGCGCAAGTGATCAAAAATTTATATTAAAGAATCTTACGGCTACTTTTTGTGAAATATATAATATTTTTCTTGTACGACAAGAACGTAAGAGAAAGGGAGAACGGTATAATCCCACAATCATACTAGTTTGGCAGGAAATCGGATTAAGTTGATTACGAGGTCGCTTAACCTTTAATTAACAATCTCTCTGCCGTACCTTTCATTAGGTTTCAGCAAGTAACAGGTTTCTTTCAAAGAAACGTGATTCTTATAAATGTCGATTATGACGACCAGTGATCGATGACAATTAATTAATCAATGACTCGCGCTACGTCATTCACGTTACCTCATCTCAAAAGAAGAGTAATTTTAATTATCGACTGACAGGTGGTGAAGTTGTGAAACATTTGACAACACCAGCATCTCGTTAACGTTCTCGTTAACGAACGCACTCGGGTTTTGCACAACTTTGTGGTTTCGCTCGCTTGTAAATAACTGAGATCGAAAAGAACATCCGGTGGCTTCTGTTACGTCTCCAGTGTATGTACATTTTACACACATATTACACTTTACACACTGAAATACGAAGCAAATTCGTCGGCCATTTACTACCCTAGCGGAAACGCGAAAGCTGGATTTTTACAATTTTCACCTCGTCATCTTTTCCATCGTGCCAATCTGACTGCCAACAGCGACTGAACTATCGTACAGTTATCATTTGTCGTTTGATCAAACATCCCTTAACGTTGCTCGATATTCATTTCAATATCCAGACCGTTCCGTAATATTTATTTTGCACGATACATATCATGTGCGCAAAGTCAATGGAAATTTATCTCGACTTCTTGGGTCCCTGTATTTTCTTCTTCGATCGACCGTCATTTTTTATTATTTTCTTTTTTTTTTCTTATCATCTCGATTATTACACGACGTGAGAAATTAGCTTTTGAATGATGTAACTGACACCTAACACACCGGTCATCCATTATCGGTGAAAACATGCAATCAAGAGGATGGCAGGGGGATCCTAAGGACACCGAGTCGAAGTAGCGGTCGAGTTCCATCGACCTGCAATTACCATGATGATTACGTTGCGAGCTACGTAATAAGGTCGAAAGTGATTCGAATACCACGGAGGATGTAAAATTTCGACGCTGTAATTCCTTCGAGTCGCCGTTCTACGAAATTCTATTCGTTAAGAGTGATTAATTCGTAAATGGAGTCTCGTTATTCAGGTAGTATCTGGATTTCGACCGCACGATGAAATGTTCGATAAGCAATTGTTCGAAAGGTTTCAATGACCTTTGAATTCGAAACTGGTTTTCTCTGCGGCGTATAGGAATGAATAATCCGGAAACGTCGGTGGACAATCGACGAATGCGAAGGTTCTAAACGATCGTGGTAAATAGAAATCGCTGTGCCATTGTGAAGTAACCGTGGAAGCGTTCTCGAATATCTTCCCACCACGTTCAAAATTGGAATACAGGACTGTCATGAGGTCTCGATGAAATTTACCAGATGGATCGTGAACGTTCGATTTAGAATCAAATATTACAGCACCGTGCAAAAATTTGAGACTACTTAGAAACTGATGAAAACGTTTTACCCTTTGCAAACAACTTAGAATTATGAAAATTAATTTTTATCTTTCATTGAATTTAAAGATGCTTGCGTGTAATGTTTCGTTTTAACATTGTTCTTAGGGTAAGATAGTTTTATTTAAAAATATTATTGATTAATTTACGGCTAATCGCGATTAAAATACTTTATATGAACTCTTTAGTTTCTGGATAA